ATTTTGTACATTCCAACCAAAGTGCAGTGTTGCTGGTCTCTGAGGGTGTCTGCGTAGTCTCCAATATGAATATCACATGACTGATGAACAATGAGGGGGCGTGTCTACTGTTAAAACACTTCCTGGAAGTCTGTTCTTGTGCGTCCTCGCTCATGGCTCCTCAGAGATCTCTTCTCGATCCTCCGTCCTCTCTCCTCGATCCTCCGAGCTAAGTAAGAGCTTTAAAACCTCTATAGCCCTAGCCGTATTTTTAGCCCTCTGCTCGAAAATTGCACACCCATACTCAAGAGAGTCCCCAGCTCTAACTACAAGGTCTATTTAATAATTCGGATGCTAGAATACTGGTAACACTTGTGAGATGTGTTGAATTGTGTAAATATTGTGTATATGTTACTGGTTAATAACTGATGCACTTATGGCACAGCTCAAATTGAAAAACTTCCAGGTTCGCCTGAAAAAAAGGACTTGTATTGAACTTTGTTTTTTAAAATAATGCCTGGCTTGGCCTAAAAACACGCCACAGTCATAGCACAACACGTTTTACATGTCCCCACAACATATTTTACTTCGATTGAGTGAAGCAGGCCAGCATAAATGATCATAAAAATCAAAATTTTGATTTTCGGAACCAGCTGTTGCATTGCTGTATACTAATTTTATATACTATATAACTATATATTCACTTTTCTTATCACTAAGAGTGTTCAATAATCCTAATAAAGCAGCTTGACACCATTTTGAATAATTTTGAGCAGTTATGATGTGTCATATCTGTCATTCATAACAATAAATGGCTCATAATGTGTGTCTATGTGACCCTGGTAAGGCCTGTGATTGGCCGATTTACTCATGCGAGACCTTTTTAGATGCGTAATAGTCCAACGGGAGCCATGCGGGGGTGTTTGAGAATATCTGGGTCTGTTTACTGACTAAAAATCGCAAAATGCTGGGCGAACCCCCCTCTCTACGTGGATTGGTCCACCTCACAGAATCTCTGCCATTTTGTCATTCATTCTCCAAGCGGACTGATCTCACTCACAGACATGCAGCAGGATCTACAGCGAGCAGCTGCGCCAAAATCCGCTGGAATATATCCGTTTTTCATCACCGAAACCATCAAAACTTAAGTTTTTTTACCCAATTTATTTTCTCGTGATATGTGGCTGATGTTGGCACATATACCCATAACTTTTGAACGGGTTGAAAGAGAGTAATTTCGACGCCGCTGTTCGTTTCCGGGTCGAATCACCAGCCTGCTACATGTGCTCATCCGCCATGTGCGATCCCTGCTTCGTGATGAGAGATCATACAAAGAGCACAGTTCGTCGATTTTTGGCCAAAATTGTGGCAAATCTTCTAGATATCTTCCAGATATGATGTTAGTTCATGTATAATTGTGTTTGCAGTGTTTACAATGGCTGGTATGATGTTGCTCGGACTTTTTCCGTTAATTCGATATTTAATATGTCTGGAGCATTTTTGATATTTCTTAATAAAAAGTCCATTCGGAACCACAGTAGGCCTACCAGTCTAAACGGTTTCGCTCGAAGCCCAAATTGGCTTCGCTCGGACATGGAGCCTAATACAATAACTCCAGTGTTCAAGAGAAACTATAATCATATTCTGAGTTATTTAATAATGACGTCGCAATCTGAATTTATATAAATACAGAGGCAAATAGTTCATCAATATGACAAACGCATTCTGCCGGTAGAAATCGGTCCTACGCTTATTAACAGGACACAGAACACAGTATAAATACCACAGACTGTGTATAAATACCACAGACTGTATAAATACTCAATGCAGTTTGTTAGAGAGGTAACAGGCTACAGAGAGGAAACACCTCTACAGTGATGACTACTGTGTGTCTGTAGTTGCCCTCACATCTCATGTGATGAAGGTGCTGGAGAGGCTGGTCTTGGCCCACCTCCGACCGCAGGTGAGATCCTCACTGGACCCTCTGCAGTTTGCGTACCAGCCTCATGTTGGAGTGGACGACGCCATCATCTACCTGCTGCAACGAGCTCAGTCTCACCTGGATGAACCGGTGGCTCTGTGAGAATCACTTTCTTTGACTTCAGTGCATTCAACACCACCCAACCAGTGCTGCTGAGGGAGAAGCTGCGGGTGGTGGGGGTTAACGCGTCCACCGTCTCCTGGATCACTGACTACCTCACAGGCAGACCGCAGTTTGTCCCACTGGGCCGTGTGCTGTCTGATGGGGTGGTCAGTGATACTGGAGCCCCACAGGGAACTGTTCTGTCTCCCTTCCTGTTCACCTTGTACACCACTGACTTCCAGGACAACTCAGGGTCATGCCATCTGCAGAAGTTCTCTGATGGCTCTGCAGTGGTCGGGTGTGTAAGGGACGGACGGGAGGAGGAGTACAGGGCAGTAGTGGAGGACTTTGTGGAGTGGGCCGGTAGAAATCACCTGCGTCTGAACGTGGCCAAGACCAGAGAGATGGTGGTCGACTTCAGGATGAAGATGACGGCTCCACAACCGCTGAGAGTTCAGGGAGAGGACGTGGACATGGTGGAGGAGTACAAGTACCTGGGTGTCTCCATCGACAGCAGACTGAACTGGAAGACCAACATCAACGCTGTGTACAAGAAGGGGATGAGTCGACTCTTCTTCTTGAGGAAACTTCGATCCTTCAACGTGTGCAGCAAGATGTTGGAGATGTTCTACCAGTCTGTTGTGGCCAGTGCACTGTACTTCTGTAGTCTGCTGGGGGAGCAGCATTGGAGCCGGAGACACCAACAGACTTAACAAACTGGTTAAGAAGGCCGGCTCCATCATTGGCTGCAAACAAGACTATCTGGAAGAGGCGGTGGAGAGGAGGACACTGAAGAAACTATTATCCATGTTGGATAACCAGGACCACCCTCTCCACCACCTCCTGCAGGGACAGACTGATCCAGATGTGATCATCAGCACCGTCATCAGAAACAGACGTCGCTTCACGTGACGCAACTGAGGAAAGGACGTCTCATGTCTCTAAAAACATATTTCCTTGTTTCCTCTCTCCTCGCATGGTTTCCTCCATGCATCCCTGGTGGGAGGGACTAAGACGCAAGGAAAGGACGCAAGTGAGGGAAACGGGGATGCAATTAAGAGACTTGAGAAGTGCCCCTCGTTTCCTCTCTCCTTGCGTGACGGCCCCTCCCTTCCTGTTTCCTCTTTAGTTTCACTTCTGGAGCTCGTGGTGTCGCAGCTTCTTCTTCTCTGCTTCTAAAGGTTAGTGAGCGACTCTTTTCACTGAGGGACTCTCGGAGGACTCTTTGGTCCTTCAGGTCCAGCAGAAACTAGTTCAAGTGGACTTCAAGGAGGACCAGTGAAGAATAACAGAGCAACACGTCACAAACTCTTCAGTGCGCGTGTCGCTCCTTCTTTCCTCGTGAAGGAACCAAAGTCACGTTTGAGTTCAGTCTCGCTAGAAGAAGTTACAGAAATACTTGATGTTTTTCTTCAGTCAGCTGAACACAAATGGATTTAAAGTGAAGTTTAGTCTGTGCAGTATGACGTCACCGTCCACCCTAAAGCTACCGCACATCACTCCAAGTACTGGAGTGTATATATATCTATATATATATAGATATATATATTGAACTATATTAGTTCAGAAAATAAAAATAATGCTGAAACAATACAAGAAAAATTGAACTTTATTCCCAGTCAGAGGAAAATACAATCACATCATTAAATGTGTGTATGATTTCTATATTTACAGAGTCACAGTCATTCACTTCTCTGTAACAGTCTGCTGTGTGAAGCTCACAGTGGAAAAGTTCTGCCAACAAGTTTTAAAGCTACTATGTGAGTTTTAGAATTACATTACTGCGCCATCCGCTGGTCGAATAAAGAACGACACCGTGGAAGGCGGCCGTACAGGCTGCTGGGACTGTCTGATGATTGTCAAACACATAGAGATAATAAACATAGTCACTATAATAAACATCCTTCTCATATATCATTCACTGTCAGTAACAATATGGTGGAAACAATAATCATTAAAGTGAATTTAATGAATCTGCTTTCTGACCATGGTGTGTTCAAGGATGCTCCGAAAAAGAAGGGTCTGTTTCTGAACTACAGTTTAGTGCTGCGAACACAACCTCGACCCCAGAAGTGAGTTCAGTGTGACCGAAGAACAGCCGAGGTCAAAAAACCTTCACCGGTTTAAAAGTAAATACAGCGACATGAGCGGAAAATATAAAGTAGCGTTACTGCCTTCTTAAAGAGATCACCTGATGTCAGAGCCTTCAAAATACTGCTGTTTCTACTACATTTACATCAAGCAGATGCAGTACTATTGTAATACTGTTGTATTTAAAATGATACCAGAGAGTTTGGTATTTTTGTTTTTGATTTTGCTGACCTCCAGTGATGTAGAAGTGTACCTCAGGGCGTGTCAGTACACTGTGACATCACTGCCGGGGGTGTGGCTACAGGTGAAACACTGCGCTCTTTAACGGTTTGTTTGTGCGTATCATTTTCAAGCCCTTTGTGTTAATGCATTAACACATCTCAGTTCATAACCTCTGCCACAATAAACTACATATTTACAGTATATTTACAGAACTGTGAACGGCACATTATACTGGTCTCCAGTACATTCAGGCAGCTTCGTCCAGCAGTCTCTGCAGGTTCTTCTGCACCTGAAAGGACAGACGTGGTGCGTTAATGTTACTGTATGACATCAATCAATCAAGTGTTATTCACATATCACCTTTAAAACAAATAGTATGCAATTCAAAGTGCTTTACAAATGATTGACAAGACGAGAACGAGAAGAAAATGCACATCAAATAAAGTTAAGAAAATTGATCGTGGTGAAACAGTAAAAAAGTTAAATTAGAGCAAAATAAAAGAAGAAATAAAATGTATATAAATACTAAAAACCCTAGCATAGAAACACATACGATAATCAGACGTAATAATAATGAACAATAATACTAAAAATGCCCACATGCACATTGCTATGATATATTTCGATAATGTATGTTTTTAAAGTTCACAGGCTTCTGTAATGTAAATAGCCTAACTTAGCATAAAGACTGGCAGCAGGGGGAAACTGTTAGCATGGCTCTGTTCAAAGACAACTTGTGGACTATTTCTTGACAAACCGCAGTGTATACATCCGCCCAGCACTTCTGTGCTGCAGGTCCAGCTATAGTGCCAGCTATGGAATACAGTTTATTTTAAATATAAATTTTCTTTCTAGATTTTAAATACAACACAGAAACATCATCAGCATCAACAGCGTTATTCCAGACAACAGAAATGCACGTTTTCAGGGAATATTCCAAATCATAATTATCTAAGCGGTCATAATGGAAGTAAAACAAACATATAGCAAGTAAAGTACAGATATTGGACAACAGGAATAAATAAAAAATGAATCTAAATCTACAGTCCAATCGGAGACCGTCTAAATATAGACGCATGATCCAAACCTGCAACCTCACCACACCATCATGTCCAACCATTATTTATTATTTATATTCATATTTCATTTATTTTCATTTGCACATAAAGAAACAAAGGAGGTCCAGGTGTTTGTTAGAGGTGTTTTTTTGGGGCACTTTATGCTAAGCTAAGCTAACCACGCCCTGACTCCAGATCTGTACGAAACACATATCAATCTTCCCATCTCACTCATAAGCATTATATACAAATATTGAACTATTCCTCCATGACATAAAAGTATTAGTTGTGTTTATGTTATAAATGAATAAATAAATACATTTAAATTAATAAATATTAATCTATAGAATGCTTCTTCTTTTCCTGAACATGTGATTTGTCCCGGTCCACTGAGTTTATTTCTAATATTTCTATAATCTTGTATATTTATGGATTACAAAGGAACTCTCCAGACTTGCCGTCCTCCCTCCGTCCACCAGAGGGCCTCAGACTTTCCCACCAGACTCCCACATCCACCTGCTCACCTGTTCCTCATTTCCCAAATCACACCCTCAGTATTTATAAGAGCCCGTCTCACCTGCTGCTGGCCGCATTGTCAGTGATGCTTCTACCTTCACCTCCGCTTGACCAGGCGCCCACTCTTTAAACTGTAATATTTGCAGCAGGTTCAGGATCTAGAGGTGGACTAGTCGGTGACATTCTGTCAGCTGCTGCTGTCTGTCAGCGAGGAGACGAGTGTCGGCCTGAAACGTTAATGACGAGCTCTCCTTACAGACCGACGGATCTCTGACTATAAATGTTTGATTAACGCCGGTTACGTTCTGTTTCTGTTCCTCACGCACGAAGAGAAACATCCTGAGCACCAGCGTCCTGTTTAATCTGAGGAGATGAGTTCATCAAGTAGGAAATAAAGGCGATTAACGGATACTCTGACATAATGGTGTTATGTCACACAACAACTATCATTTCTTTGGTAATAGACAATGAATGGATTTTGGCAGCTGAATATTTGATAGATATTTACAGACTTTTTACTTTTTGCAGAAATGTTTGTAAACTGATTGAAAAGCCTTTTTGCTTGAAATAAACCTCGGGGACGGACGGACGGACGGACGGACCTTCTCCAGCTTCATCAGGTTGACGGTCAGAAGTTCAGAGAAGAGCTCCGTGTTCACGTCGCTCCTCGTCACAAAGTCGTGTCTGGAGAACAAAAAGACAAACAAAGCTCATTTTTAAATATTGAAAAAGAGCAAAATCTCAAAGCCGCAGTCCACAAACCAATGGGTGACGTCACGGTAATACGTTCATTTGTTATTCACAGTATATGGTTCATAATCATATTTTAGTCTTATCTATATACAGGCTCACTATGAATATGTTCCTGCTCTTCCTTCTGCTGCTCTTCAGTCTCTCTCTCTGGGACAACCTTCTCAACCTTGGAGACTGAAGTTTGGGAAGTTTGAAACTACTTCTAAAGTTGTGTCGATATGAAAGTCTGAACAGGTTGGCAGCTGAAGTGTTTCAACTAGTAAAATGTATGAATAATCATATTTTCTCAGGCTCTGTCCATTATATTTCTAAGTAAAAGTTTTTTTTAACTTTTCTGCCTCCGCCGGGCTGTGACTCACTCCTGGTGGGTGAAGTCGGTGATGGAGCCGAGCGTCGTCAGCCTCTCCTCCAATGAGATGATCTTAAGAGCCAAGTAACAAGAGGACAAGAGCAGGACACACACTCTGAGACCACGCACACACACACACGCGCGCACGCACACACACACACACACACACACACACACACACACACACACAGCACACAGATGATCAATCTTTAGATGAGTGAGATTAAGTTGTTCAGAAAACAATGAAATAAAGTCAATCCATGAATGAAGATGGAGTTAGTTAATAAATGCATTATTACATGAATAAACAGCTTTATTAGTGGATCATTGTGGCCCCAATGTGAAGAATGTTTCATGAATGAATGAATAAATAAACAGCTGTATGAACGAGTGGAGATGAATAAATACATGACAACTCTCTGGAGTAAATAACTCTATTGATCTGCACACGAATGAATGAATGAATGCATGAATGGATGGATGGATGGATGAGTGAACTCACAGTAACAGGTAGACAAACAGCAGAGTGTTGAGAGAAACTGGTCTCAGAATCCGGCCGTTGATCACCAGCTGTGATCCTGCAGACAGAGAAGAACCGCCGTGTTGAACTCACTAACATGTTTCATTGATCTGAGATTTAAGTCACCAATTTGTCACATGGCATTGTGTACTTTTTTCACCTTAATATTAATATTAATTTCTTACCACGTTTAACAGTGCAGTGCACTCATTATGCATAGTACTAAAACAAGAGCATACGGACAGTAAATAACGTAGGATATCAGAAACAAACTGTTCTTAAAGTCAAATTAATTGAAATTCGGGGATCTGGTGGAATTCAAGAGTGAACAAATTTACAAATTTACTTCCTGGCAACAAACAAAACCAGTTAAAAACAAACTTGATGAAGTCTGACGTGTTCTTTGTGCTCAAAGTTGAATGTTCTAAATGAGGTATCATTAATCCAGTGTTGCATAACTAAACTAAAGACTAAAGAAGGTTTTTAACAACGTTGGAGGATTACAGACATTCGTACCAGCGTGGTGTTTGTCCTGCTGCTTGTTGTCTGAGCTCTGCTGGTGCTGGTGCTGGTTCTGGTTCTGGTTCTTCACTTTGTGCTGAAGGTCTGGATGCTCGGGCGGAGCTGCACTGCTCGTGTGCTTCAACGCATCCAGAAACGGAGGAACAGGGAACTCTGCAGAGAGACAGGAAGCTGTGTGAAGAGGAGGAATTAAATAAAGATGAACTTACAGCAGCAAAGGTTCTGCTGCTGAAATACAAACTTTGCTCCTTTAGTGAAAAGCTGTTGTCACGTTTGTGGATCTCCAGACGTACGAGCTCATCATGTGATGTGCTACACTGCAGCTGATTGGTTGGCAGGTCGGTGGTACCTGCTGTCTTGTCGGAGTCCGAGCTGCTGCTCTCCTCCATCTCCTGCCTCCTCTGTCTCACGGCGACGTCCAGGTCACAGAAATCAGCGGGAAAGCTCTGCAGGACACACGCACAGTTTGACCGGTCGCTCGTTATCTGAAGAGAACAGGAAGTCAGAGAGGAAGACACTGACGGGACAGTCACACGTCTGTTAGGCCTATAAAACAAACACACCCGCGAAATACAAAGTTATGAAGAAGAATACAACTCATAGAGGTTTTCTTTCTTTAGTCTTTCTGAAAAGCTGAAAAGTCTTCCTGCTGTTTTATGTCCATATTTTGATATAAATTTCTCCATAAATCAAGCATTTTGTTCGCTTATAACAACAAACGGCTCCTACGTCTCCCCGCCGTGTTGCAGTGAGTTAGTTGACCTACCAGAGGACAGCAAGGCGGCAGAGGAGACCTCTGACTTCTGAAGCTGCTGGCAGCCGAGGACGGGACGGGGCTGCTGCACGGACTCTTCTCCTGAACATGTGACATTCAATCATTGTTGTTGTTCAAAAGAATTAATCAGAACAGATGTGCAGCGTTTCTTTCTGTTTTAATGCTGACATGGAAGAAATACCACAAACAATACGCTTTACGTTCATGTGAGCAATCTGTAAGAAAATGACAGATTCTCGCCACAGTTTCTCCTTTTGGGATAAAAGTCCACAAATAATTAGTCCTCACATGTCGGCGTGACCGTAGAGCTTCTTAAACAACAGATTTAGATTAATTCATCACAGAACACAGAAACATACAAAAAGACAAAATAATTTAAGAAGCTAAAAGCTATCAGGGTCAATGACATTCCTGGATTTTAGGGGTTGAAATCATTCATCTAGTTTAAGTTAATTCATCTTTATAGACCACTGTAACATACAATGTCTCTGAATGGGCTTCTACACATAAGTGTTGGTGGTTCGTGACTCAGCTCGAACACTTAAAGAAGACACCGAAAACAAAAACCAGACAAAAACTTAAACATTTAAGAAACAGAAAAGCTGAATAGATTTTAACTTCGTCACCACGTGTCTCTGAGTTCATGAGTGTGCGTTTGATGAGACAGAAAAGGTGAAAGACTTTCATTTTAGGATCAAGAACACTATGAAAATAGTCAAAAATCTACATTTTAAAGGATTTCTACTTGATAACAAGTGACCATGTGTGAAGTCTGTCCTACCTCCAGATGAAGACAGATGGACATCAAGAACTTGTAGGTGTTGTCTCTGGACATGAAGGACACGAAGACGTACTGCAACAAAGAAAATACAAAGGTTCTACAGGTTGTTCTTCTTTAAAGTCTTCTGTGGTTTAAAGAAGACCGAACATGTCGATGCGCTCACAGGTCCTCACCCTGTCGTTAGCGGTGGCGATCACCAGGGCGTTGGGCAGCAGGATGGCGGTTTTGGTCTTCTTGATGTGCGTGACGGACATCACTGGGATGGCGATCTGGGACGGACAAACACCAGGATGAACAGATGAGGCCTGCAGGGACTACTTTAAGAACCTACTGTTAGAATCACTCATCCTGTGGGGGGACACCCACACCGTCAACTGCTGCTATATATTGTGTTCATGTGATTATTGTGTAAACTGTGTTAGCCATGACTCTCAAATAGAGAACGGACTCGTATGTTTTGATTAGAGTCTGTTTTCCGTGAAGCTTCACCGGGTGAATGTGAATCATTTAGGCCAAACATCTCTCATTAAATCAAACCTTTGAGACTTTTTGTACAGAAATGTTGCAGACGGAAACAAACCAACGGCATGTTTGAGATGAAAGAGGTAACAGTGACCTCTGTCCCAGGGTACGGTACCTTTGTGTCTTTTCCAAACACCTTGGAGTGGAAGCCGATCCAGTGGTCAGAGACAAACATCCGTCCCTGGTAGAGGATGTCTTTCTGCAGAGCACAGGTGTAACCTGACAAACAGGTGAATAGCATCACCCTACTGATGGGAACATGAATAAAACGGACCTATAGAGTTTTAAAACAATACTGGCATGCCCACATGTACACTTGAATAGCTTTCGGACATTGGAATTATTCCTCCTGTCCATACTGACTGAGAGAGATCCCTTTATAGAGCTTTTTCAGTCGTTCTGTGGGGGCAAAACAACCACAAAGACAAACAAAACAACTACGGAGAGACACAAAATGTCTTTAATGAGACTAAAACATACTCAAAGATACTCAAAATGAGGATCTTTGTAGCATAGAGACTCAAACAATTACAAAGAAACAAAATAACTATAGCGAGATACAAAGCAACAACAATAACACAACAAGGACTACAAAGAGACACAAAACACCTACAAAGAGACACAAAATGACTTCAAAGAGACTCAAACAACTACAAAGAGAAACAAAATAACTATAGCGAGATACAAAGCAACAACAATAACACAAAATGACTTCAAAGAGACACAAAACTACAACACTACTCAAAATGAGAGCACAGATGCCTAAAACAACTACAAAAAGACACAAAATTGTCACGATCAGGCTTTGCCTTCTGTGTTCTGTGTGTTTCTTTCTGTAGCTCCTCACTCTACCTCTCAGCCACTCCCTCAGCACCAGTCTAACTCCCTTCCCCTGCCCCTGATCACTAATCAAGCACTCCCTCATCAGCACAACTCTCCTCGCCTGTTCTAGCCACTATTTAAAGCCCTGCCTCCCAGTCACACACTGCCAGGTCATTGTTTGTGTTCTACCCGCCCGTTTGTCGTGTCCTGTTCCCGGTTTCCCATGTCTGCCTGCCTGCCTCGTCCTGCTGGATTTGCCCCCTCGTCTCTTGCCTCGTCCCTGGATTCCCTGTGTGTTCTTGTAAGTGTTCAGTTTCTGATTTAAGTGTTCATTAAATTCCCACTTCACTCTACTTCTGGTCTGCGTTTGAGTCCACCATCATGCCCCGTGACAAAAATGACTTGAAAGAGTCACAAAGCAACTACAAAGAGACACACAATGACTATAAGGAGACATATAAAAATGACAGAGATACACAAAATGACCACAAATAGACACAAAACCACAGAGAAATGTGTAACGACTTCAAAGAGACACAAAACAACAACTAAAGGAGCCTAAACAACTATAAAGTCTCTGTGTCTTGTCTCTTAGTCTGCCCACGATCATCACACTAAAATGACCTGAGGAAGGGATCTCTCTGTGCACAGGAGGAACAGTTACATCCATGTGAGTATGTCTTTAAGACGGTGAACCCGTCCTTTAGATCTTCTCTTAGTGTGGAACTAGCAGCTGTGCAGGTATCAGATGTCTCATCTAATCCCTCATCCAGTATTCAAGGGGAGCAGAAGAGTTGTGATCATTCATGACTTACTCTGTGTGAGCTGTTCCTCTTTGCTGATGTCCTTGAATATTTTATGGTACTGGCAGTTGCTCTTTGAAAGCTGAAACACACCACACATATAACACATAATGCAGAGTGATGCTTGCACAATGTGAGTATTGATTATATTGCAAACGCCGTAGAAACTACTGAGACTTCAGATATGGGGTTTTGAAAGCAGTTGATGTTCAGTTTGATATTCTGTGGCATTATAAAGTAACCATGAAGAAGTTTTTTTTTTTTATTCAATTTTCGACGAAACCACCAGAACGTGTCAATTGG